TGGATAAAGACTGGCATGCATCGTCGGTGTACGTGCTCGGTTATGGTCGCTCGTATATGGACTCTTTATTAATCTGTGCGCAGGTCCCTTATCTTCAACAGCTCGTACTCGAGATGAGAACGCTCACAGCTCGTTGCCCACCGTTTGGAACACTCCATCTATCCCGACGGTACAGCAGTTGGAAGATGAAGTGAAGTGAAAAACGCACGGATGTTTTGTCGACGGATCCCCGCTGTGGAAGCCGGCAGCACCCATTTCTGATTGCGACACCTAGCCACGCTTGGCCGACTTGTAACACACTTCCATTTACCGGGTCGAGTCCGGACTCTACGGCACTCAGGGAGTCATGATGACCGTTGGTGTATGGGGAGCCATTGAGGTTCCAGTACACGGGTGTGCTGAGAAGCGTCGGAGTCCTGCCGAACCCTGAGCGAGTTCAGGCTAAACCGTTCCAAGGGGTCCGAAGTTTGTCCCAGAACGTCACATGACCGTGTCGGATCTTCAGAACCCTACGGCCCTGGGCTTACCCACGACGGACCGAGTCGTCGCAGCGACGTTCGAATCTGTTCGCGTCACATCACGAAGCAACGAGCTCCCAGCAAAGACTCTCGGCTGATGGTGGACATGCGAGGATGCGAAAATAGATGTTTCGATGCCGCCGGTGTCGCATCAGCCTCGCGATTCGTTGTCACTGTCAAACGCGAGTCTTCGCAGCGTCATACCTGGTGCTTCACCAGCAGAACTCAATGAGATGCCAGCATTACTCGCGGTGGACAAAAAAAGATGTTTCGATCTCGTGAAACGGGTGCGTGCTGCACGAGAGGCGCTGGAAGTTTGGTGTTGCTCGGTCGGCCCTCGCAGCTCGTGGGAATTGTCCAATCGCAAGCGCTCCTGCCCCCTTCGGCCCCTCTGTCCGACGGTCTGTCCCTGAGGCTCAGGCTCTCCTACGGGGACAGGGACCACGCTACGGGACAGATGCGGCGCAGGTACACAGTTTCAGCCCTAGGACTCACGACTCCTGGGGGCGATGCTGAGTGCCGAACCGGACGCTTCGAGTTGGGGGAGTGGTATGGATGTTGGGATACCGGTGGTGGAGCAGATGGAAAAGAGCTACTCACTGAACGCGGTCTCCGCTGGCGTTCCGAATAGCGAAAGGGTATATATGTACTCGTCTTGACCGTGGAAGGGAATTATCATCATCACAACCACTCTCATCACTACTACAAACACCTTCACACTCCTCAACTCAAAATCTCAACACATCAACACATCAAAATGGCATCAATTGAGCAGACATGGAGCCTTGCTGGCAAGGTCGCCGTTGTTACCGGCTCAGGTAAGCTTCATCATACCCAAGCTTCACCTCCCATACTAACAAACATGTAGGCCGTGGTATCGGAAAGGCGATGGCTATTGAGCTCGCCAAGCGTGGCGCAAAGGTCGCCGTCAACTACGCCAACGCCGTCGAGGGTGCTGAGGCAGTCGTCAAGGAGATCAAGGCACTCGGCAATGGCTCAGACGCCGCTGCCTTCAAGGCCAACGTTGGCAACGTCGAGGAGTCTGAGAAGCTGATGGACGATGTTGTTGCCCACTTCGGCAAGCTCGACATCTGCTGCTCCAACTCCGGTGTTGTCTCTTTCGGTCACTTCAAGGACGTCACACCCGAGGAGTTCGACCGTGTCTTCACCATCAACACCCGTGGCCAGTTCTTCGTCGCTAAGGCGGCTTACAAGAGGATGGAGATGGGTGGTCGCATCATCCTTATGGGATCCATCACCGGTCAGGCTAAGGGCGTACCCAAGCACGCTGTCTACTCCGGCTCAAAGGGAGCCATTGAGACATTCACTAGGTGCATGGCTATCGGTAAGTCACATCATGCTCACTTCCACTTCATCTACTGACCCAACCTAGATGCCGGCGAGAAGAGGATCACCGTCAACTGTGTTGCACCCGGTGGCATCAAGACCGACATGTACCACGCCGTCTGCCGCGAGTACATTCCCGATGGTGACAAGCTCAGCGACGACCAAGTCGACGAGTACGCCTGCACATGGTCCCCTCACAACCGTGTTGGTCAGCCAGTAGACATTGCCCGCGTTGTCTGCTTCCTTGCTTCTCAAGACGGTGACTGGGTCAACGGAAAGGTCATTGGCATTGACGGCGCTGCTTGCATGTAAGCGTGTTGTCTTTGATAGAGCATGTTTTCTTTGGATGTCTTCCGCAGTCACGAGCTAGCATGTATTGGCGTTCTTCTTGAAAGAAGAAAATAATGAAATTTTACACCACCTCCATTCTCGCTTGAGTCTTTCGTTACTACTGCGATGCAGGATCTGGCAAAGCAATTCTCTCTGTGCACACCACTACAGTGTTGTGGTGGTGTGGAACCTCGCAGCGCGGCTTTTCTGCTTTTTCGGTCCAGGTCGCCTCAAGGATGTATTAACAAGACTCTTGACCGCCAGATCTCCTACTTCACCGCTGTCTTCATATCCTTTTTCGCGCCCGAGGAAAGATATACCACCATTCACCACCGTGTTGACGAAACATGCCCCGCCTTCACGAGTTCGACTAAGACTTCACCGTGTTTCTTGACGGCAGCTCGCTAGCGGCCTCCACAGATCATCCATTGGGACAGGATCAGCGTATCTACTAGGCATTCGCTCTAGCATCCTAAAAGTGCCTTACGCGAGTTCGGGACAGGACCGATGACTAAGAAACAAAAGATTGAAGCTATGCAGATACATCAGTACTGATGGTGGTATTCTTGGTATGAGCCTTGTGCACGGACGTTACCCAGGTAGGCAAAGCCAGATCGCTCCCAGAAGGTCCACCTTCGCGTGCGCGCCGCGTGGCCGATTCCACCACGACCCGGACTTCCGTCGTAACATCACCAGCCCCGAACCTTGGGGCATCGCGTAATACGCGCTGGAAATAATAACGCGCAAGCGACACTGTTTCAGGTCCTGGAATGAGGTCCTGAGCGGCGAAGAGGCGTCTCGGCATGTACCTACTTGGTTTTCGAAAGGGCAGCCCCTCCCAGATCTATAAGCGCTCACTTAGAACCGAAAATAGCCAACAATTACAAACAAGACCAAGACCATCTAGCGGACGGGAGGAATGTCATACTGTGGCACAGTACTCAGCTGTTGGACCTGTGTGGTGTTTCCATCGTCCATTCCTGCTAGGCGTCGACACGTGGGTCACCATCGCAAAGGCGCATGCGGAACATGTTCAATAAGCATCAACCAACACTACGAGCTGCAGCGAATGTTGTGATTACGCCCGGAATACCCTCTACAGTGGACTTAGTCGAGGCCTAGTAGTAAATTGCTGACGATTGCGCTGTTCGTTGTTTCTCACGGTGGGGCTAAGCCACGCCCTGGGTCAGCTATTTCAGCCGCAGTGGCAGGGTTGCTGGACGCTTATTGGAGCTGTGTTTAGCAAACGCTGGAACGTTTTCTATCCGAGATGGCCTTTGCGAGTTGTGACCTGTCTATCTTAGGCATCCTGTCATACTATTCTCCGCATTCTGGTCGTGTGAAGGGCCTGATGCGACACTGCACTGACGAAAGATACAGCTTACCATCAAACGGCAATTTCACCAACCGAGGGCTATGTGTAGAACATCAGCAACCTTTGATTTGTGAGCACTCTCGCCAGACGAGTATATATCTAGAGAATATCTTGTCTGTCAAGTTCATTTTCATCTTCAATACATCACCTTCACAGCATCTTCATCACTACATCTGCATCACATCTTCCACACCAAACTACTCTCTTCACAGCATCCACAGTCCTATTATCGTCGATAGCACTTCATAGCTCGTCTCTGCTTCCTAGTCATCATCGCTTTAGTCGCTTCCTTGCCAGATCACCACTCCTACAACATCAACAGATAAACTCATCAGACAACATGGTTGCCTTCACATCGCTCGCCTTGACAGCCGCTGCCCTCGTTGGCCTCACCGTCGCCGTGCCAGCACAGCCAGTCCGGCCTACCGGAGTAGTCCACCGCGTCTTCGCTGGCTCCACCACCGCCAACGGCGGCCTACATTTCGAGCCCGAAAACGTAGTCGCAGAACCCGGCGATCTCATGGAGTTCCACTTCCTCCCCAAGGCGCACACTTTCGTGCAGTCCTCGTTCGACAAGCCATGCGAGCCTCTCGGCGGCGACAACTCCATCTTCTCTGGCTTCAACTTCAACACCACCGCGGGTGAAGCACCAAACGTCTTCACCTTTACGGTGCAGGACACGAACCCCATCTGGTACTACTGCTCTCAGACAAACGGCAATCACTGTCAGAAAGGCATGAGCGGAGTCATCAACCAGAACTTCAACTCCGACAAGACGCTTGCAAAGTACAAAGAGAATGCGGTCAATACCGTCACCAAACAACCTTCTGTTGACCCGCTTGCTTCTCAGGGTGGCTCGATCGTACCTTTGTGAGCACCTGGTGTAATCTGCCGCATGTAGCATGGGCGGCGTGGTGACTACGGCTGATATTAAGGACGGTCTCTTTCTGCATATTTTTATTTTCGCATCACATAGTTGACTTTCTCTCTGCATGGCATCGGCGTTTTGCATTTAGTCTTTAGAATTGCTCTACACATTTACACACTAGAGTAATGATATTTCTATCGTATCATGATTCCAACTCCTCTGTGCCGGAAATACTTTTGAATACATCATTGCAGAATGCGACATTGGTTCTAGCCGCCTTGAGTGCCTTTCTTTACCCAAGATTAATGTCCTAACCCAAAAGTTTGCTCAGAATGGATGTTGCTTCAAACTGTCGTCAAGTTGTGCCCGCACTTCTTTGACGTTCTTTCTGTGTTGCGCACTTCCAATATGGGCAAACAATTGCTTTGCATCTCGCCTTTAGCACTCATTATCTCAATCAGCCGATGCCATCTTTTCAGTTGTAACCTCATAAGCAAGACACGTGTCTAATTATCCGAAATCTCCCCCAGAGTCTTCTCGATAGATCACTGGAAGTCCCATCATGGCACGAACCAGAGCCTGCAAAGCGCGTTCTAGACCTCCCTCTCGCAGCCGCATCACCAAAGTGACCTCGGGACGTGGGTCTACAGTGGAGTCACTCCGTGCATCGACAGTATCCGTTGAAGATTACAAGGATAAGAGAGGTTACTTGCGCGACATCGACAGAGAAGAAAGCACCGTAAAGATCAAGCAAGAAGACGAAGATACAACAGAGACAAACGACAGAAAGATATCTCCGAAGAGACGGGCTCGAGAAGCCACACCAAAGACTTCTGTGGCGAAGAAACAAAAGTCCTCCCCACCTGCTTCCGTCACTCGTCTTACGCGCTCCAAGACTTTGCCTTACAGGAGAGAAGCGAGTAGTACCCGGTCTGATAGTGAGTCAGAGAGTGATATCGAGACCGACGCACGCACCAAGATGCGCTCCATCAACTCATCTCTTCGCCTATTACGCCCATATATGGCCTTCCAACTATCCATCTCTGGACTTTCGGGCAAAGCATACAACGCCGCACAAGCATCGATGAAGTCCGTCCTTGACGTCGCAGAGAACTTTGAGAAGCAGTGTGGTGGAGCTCTTGCAAGGGCACACGACAGCCTCAGCAGTAGCAGCAGTGTGGATTCTGAGGAGCGAGAGTCACCGAACAGACAAAAGCGTGGAGAAGAAAGACAAACATACAAAGTCGCGAAGCTTGGAGCAAAGAGAGACGAGGACGTGTTACCGAGGAAACAGCAGGAACTGAATGAACAGACGAGGAAGAGACTCGCGCAAGAGCGAAAGGGAAGAGGAAGGGCAAGACGAGATCCGAGCGAAGACGAAGACTCATCCGTCCATTCCTCTTCGCGTTCATCTTCCACCACGACCTCCGAAACCGCAACAGAAATAGCCAGTGACACCGAGGACGAAGCCAAATACCCGCCAATCAAGCTGCTCTCCGTATCGAGCACAACCTCAGTCTACGACTCGCTCCGCGCATCGACAACGGAATCTGGGGAAACTAGCTCGGTAAGCTCTTGCTTTGATTTGACTACTGCCATGACAGTAATGATGAGGCTGATCAATTATAGTAGGAAGGCGAAGAAAGCGATGTGATTGAACGCCGTGAGAAGAACGCATTGCGGCGGCAGAAAGCGAGACAGAAGAAGCGGAATGCGTGGAAGAGGGAAGAAGTCGAGTCGGCGAGCGAGGCAGAAACTGAAATGAAGCTGGTTGAGGAGATGGAAGAGGAGAGCACACCTGTAACGACGGAAAGTGATTGTAGAACGGAAGTCATGGTAGATTTCTGTCCGATAGCATGGTAATGGTGCTTCGACCATAGACCAGCATGATAAATATTTCCTTATTTTATCCGGCTTACAGGAAGCTATCACATCTTGATCCTGAGACCCGTGTTCCCTGTCCTTTCCGTGCCTGATCTCCCGCTGGTGGCACCCATGCTGTCTGCATCGCTATCCTCATCTTGATAGTCCTCCTGTTCGTCATCGATGCTGCCTAGTCCTAGCGTGCCAACCTTGAACGTGTTGCCACACCACTCATTAAATACGTCCGGATCCCAGACGCCATCTTCCCTTCCTTTGCCCTTGGCGCTCCTGTTGGCTCCATTTTGGTTGGAAAGAGATGGCGAGTATGACGAGTCGTACCAGTCTTCGTATGCTTGGGTGACAGATTCCATGACAGCTGCTACAAGCATCTCGCGTGTACGAGCGTCGGTGATGTATTCTTCCAACTTCGATCTCAGGAACGGCGTCTCATGCTCAATGTTCTGCCGGATCTTGCTCGTGCGCGCAGGAGCTTCACTCACAGGCACCTTTTTGTTGCCCTTAGTATCGATCGGTGCCGTCATTCTGGCGACGAATTGACCAGTAAAGTCATTAATCGCTTGGCGCAGGCGTGCATCCACTTCAGCTTTGGCATCCAACATGTTCTCTACGACCTTGGGTATCAAAAGACCGACGAGATTCCGCGGGTTGAAGAGGCCGCCCCGAGCACGCAGCTCCCAGAAAGTATTCGTGAGGCTCGCAAAATTGTACTGGACTTCAGTCTCCGGCGTGACGAACTCAATGTCGAAAGCTACGATTTGTTGTTTGAGGAGAAGGAGGTGCGATACGAGGAAGAGGGCGGCATCGGTGGGTGAGGCGGATTTAGCAAGCAACGTGCTAGCTTGCGCGAGAGAAAGCGTGGTGCTGTGGACGATGTGATGAGCCAGGTCATCGAATACAGAGGACTAGGAGCACGTTAGCATGATGAAGGGTAGGCGAGCTTCAAGGACTCACATGAACGAGCCTGTAGATCTTGCTGAGCAACCAAATCGCTTTGCGCAATGTAGGGTACCAGTCTTTGAAGGCAGCTTCGGTATTGAAGTTCCACCGCGCATCTGGATCGTCGTCTTCCACAATTGTAGGCGTCTTCGGCATCAAAGGGGTGGGCGGAACTTCGGACTTCGGCTGCTTCTTGCCAGACAAGACGGGTTGGTTTGACTTGGTCCCAGAAGTGGCGTGCTTCTTGTTCTTTGCAGGGTAGTCGAGGTCTTCTGGTTTAGGCTTGTATCTCTCAATGTCGTCTCGCAGGATCGCAAGCGATAGGAAAACCAATCGGTTTTGTGCATCTTGCAGTGCGGGATGTACAATGACAGAAAAGTCCAGCTTGTTCGCCTCAACCGGCGACTCCTCCTCTTCTTCCTCCATGTATCGTGTCTGTATCAGCGTGCAGAGTTCGCATAGCTTGAGTATCTGTGTCTCGTGGATGGTGCGCGGTCGCAGGTAGTCGTATAGAGGCTCGCATACAGCTTCGAGGAAGTCGTACAGTCCGCCGTCGCCCTCAAACCACTCTCGCCATAAGTCGCACTCGTCGAAACATATGCCACGAATATAGCTTATGCTGCTCCGCGCGAAAGCTACGAGATCCGTCGATGTGCTCGGAGCTTGTGCGATCTCTCCGATCTTTTTCGTAACGATGGGAAGTATGAGTCGGCCACGGGTAGCTGAGTAGCTCTGGTACAGCTCGTTCATCAAACTCTGGTATTCGGCTTCTCCACCTGGCGCTGCTCCAGCTGGCAGTACTGCCCGCTTTTGTATCTCGATGCCTATACTCTTCAGCTCCGGCGCGCCGACGCGGAATTTGGCATACAACAGTGCAGACATGGTGGTGTCGTTCAGTTGTCTATCCGCTATCCGCTTCGACACGTCGGCTGCGATTTCTCGAAGCGCTTCGGTGAAGTGGACGCGAATGAGGGTGAGGGCACGGGTGAGGAGCAGTCGGTATCTGGATCGGTGTGTTTCGGCTTCGCGATGCTTGGAATGCGCCTGCATGTACTCGAGGCAGCTGTCCAGGTTGGCCAGCATCTCCACGAATTCTTTACCCCGCACAATCTTTCCTGCTCCCGGAGCATTGAGCCGTTTCGTAGTAGGTTCGAGGTAGAGGTAGTATCGTAGATTCTGCTCCATATCGTCTGCGAGCTTCGTAATGCGCTTCTGGTCGTCGATGAGGCCCTCGCATTGTGTGCGGAAGGCGTTCGTCTGGGCTTCGACGATCTTGAAGGATTCGGAGAGGGAGGAGAGAATATCGAGGGTCGATGTCGTGTCGGAGATGATGTTCTCGAGGTGGTTTCGCGTTATGTGTAGTTGGTTCTGGTAGAGCCTGTACTCCTCGTGGCTGGCTTCGAGCAGCTCATCGCTGACACCGCCATACCAGTCGGCAAACTCCAGCTCGGTGGTGATGTCCTCACGTGACTTCTTTTTCTCGAGCGCCCTTTCCTTCTTCAGATGTGCCCGCACGACGGTGTAGAAGTCGCTGTACGACTTGGCGCGTCTGGCCACGGTGGCCGGTGGAGGGCCATTGAGCTTGCCGGGTCGGTCGTCTTCTGCTGTTTCCGCGATGGCCTCTGCGCGCTCGAAGTCAGCCTGACTCTCCTGCAAGTACAATCATCAGAAGTGCTCAAACGTACCCAGGCAGCGGATGGTGGGCTTACGTTCTCCTGTTTAAGCAGGCTCTCTCGGCGGCGGTGCTTGCCCTTCTCCTGGGGCTTGGCGGTGCGCGGCACAAAGGCAGTGTACCACGAGTCTGCCTCGTACATTCTGGCGCAGTTCGGGGGTTGGTGGGTTTGTTGTGTGTAGACAGGAAACACGACGCAGCTTCCACATGTCGGAGCTCGGTGATGCTCGTGGGGGTCCAGCAGGTGGTGCTAGGCCCAATTAGCGCTAGCACCATCTGTCAGTGTGGAGCAAGTCTAGAGCGTCATTGATCACGCAGCTACGATCTAGAGAAACTATCCAAACTGTCCAATTACCAATGCTCCAACCGTAATCGGACCTTCGATCGTGCTGCAAATGTTGCTCTCTTGATCTATCCAGACGCCCACGGGACGACACCTGCCACTACGAGCCCACCACCCCATATACCACACTATGCTCAGCACAAAGTGTGTAGCACGCGCGACCCTCCGAACGCCGCATGCCCCGCGAGTATGTAGGAACATAGCGACCAGACCCCCGCAATCACACGTCCGGACCGCATCCCATCCCTATGCACAACGACGACAGCAACACTTCGTCCGGTCCATAGCCACCGTCGGCGCGCTCTGGGCTACCGCCACGGCATATCAATGGTGCAATGGGGACTCGATCATACGAGATGCGCACGCGGAGGAACAAGAGGAACCAGAGCTGAAGTTCGAAGCGCCACGGCGGCAAGCAAAATCGGTCGACGACAATAGAAATATCATCAGCTCGCAGCATCTTCAAGTCATCAAGAGCTGGGAGAACCCTGGAGTTTACACATGGGGCTCTAACTCGGGCAAGGTCGTGGCACCCGACTCCGACGAAAAGTACATCAAGACACCGAGACGCTTGACCTTCTTCGACGGAAAGTTGTTGCGGGACATCAAGCTCGACAGAAACTTCGGCGCGGCCATTGACGAGAAGGGCGATCTTCTACAATGGGGCACCGCCTTCGCAAACGACGTCAAGGAGCCTACCAAGACTCTGACGGGCCATAACCTGACCTCCCTCGCCATCTCCCGCGATCGCATCATTGGCCTTTCCAAGAGCGGCTCCGTATACTCGATACCCGTTTCACAGGCGGAGCAGAAGGAAGGCCCAAAGCCGCCATCTACATCCTGGATCCCTTTTTGGAGTGGCTCCAACAACATCTCATATCGCAACCGTACACCTGAGAACCTCGGATGGAGCGAGCGCGTCACGGACATCTCATCCGGGCTAGAGCACGCGCTCATGCTCACCTCCTCTGGCCGCGTCTTCTCTTTCGCATCAGGCTCACAAGACTTCCCTAGCAAAGGTCAGCTAGGTATACCGGGTCTATCATTCGAGAGCCGTCCCACTGGCGCGTTCGACATTCCCCACGAGGTCACTACCCTCAAAGGATTCCCCGTCAAGAGGATCGCTACTGGTGACTACCATAGCTTAGTTTGCGATTCCGAAGGACGAGCTTTTACTTTTGGCGACAACACTTCCGGTCAACTTGGTTTCCCGTACAACGCTGAAGCGCAAAGCGTAGATGCGCCATCTCTACTCCCAACACAAAAGCTATACTCTGGCTCGCTAGGCAAGGTGACAAACGTCTTCGCGGGCGGGAATACGTCTTTCCTTGCTGTCGAAGCGACCAAAGGCAACAAGACTACTGCAGACACTTGGGCTTTTGGATTCGGTCTCACAGGTCAACTTGGTGTTGGTCGATGGGTGCACACGCAAGCCGATCCCGTCAAGGTTCCCGCCTTCTCCGGTCTTTTCGAGTGGGACGAAGCCAAGAACACTGCAATTCCGATACGTCTATTGAACATCTCAGTCGGCTCAACCCATGCCGCCGCCATCCTCGACAACGTTGCCAGCGTCGCTGTGACCGGTCGGTCGAAGAAGCTCACAGACAACGACACAAACTGGGGTCGCGACATTTTATTCTGGGGTAACAACGAATACTACCAGATTGGTAGTGGCAAGCGGAGCAACTTAGCTACACCAACATACATCCAACCACTTGACCAGGCCGCTGAGCAAGAGCGAGCAGCATCTGCGGGCGGTTTTGGGAAACAACTAAGAGAAAAAGAGATGCATCGTTTCCAAATCACACCACGGAACAAGGTCAAGGTCAATGGCCGCACAGTCGAATTCGAGCAAAAAGTGGAATGTGGACGAGGATGCACTGCCGTTTACTCTGCTGTTTGATCTACCAGCTACTGTTTGTGTTTTTTCTTGTACATATACCTCCGCCTTTTAGGGCGGGCACCGCAACGTTTGATGACATGTAAGAGTAGGTTGAAGGATAGGCTATTTCTCTCCCAAATCAAATC